GGGGCGGAGCACTATATTTTGCCGCGTTTGACATCATTATAAGAAAGATCTATTGAGATATCACTACTCAACATATTTAACATAGCATTATTTCATTTCAGAGGAGTAAGTGAAGAGAGCGGGGAAAGAAGGAAGATGACAGATTTCATATTTGAATGGTTCTTTTTCTTTATCCTACCCTTCATGTTGTTATTGAAAGGACTTAAACCAATATGGCGGAAAACGCTCGGACCTTGCTTTAATGCTGGACTCGACTGCCTTGGGAAACAGGTTGCAAGCCTTTGGAACACGTTTTACGCTTCAATTAAAGAGAAGGTATCAAACAAACAGCGGAAAGAAATTGCTGAGAATGAATACGATATCTGTGAATCTGGAGACAAAAGAGGGAGTGAAAGTAGTGTAACTGGAAATCATGAAAGTGAATATGATGTTACAGGAAGGAATGCTACCGGCAACAATGTTAACGGAAGTGACGCCACCGGAAGTAATTGCAACGGTAATGTACCGGGAAATGATGTGAGAGGTATTTATGTTACAGGAAGTGGCATTGACAGAAGTAATGTTACCGTAAGTGATATGAACGAAAGTCATGTTACCGCAAGTGACGTTAGCAGAAGTGATGTTACCGGAAGTAATTTGGGGAGATTTACCGGAAGTCATGAGAGTGGAAATAGTATTACCGGAAGTGATGACGCCAGAAGCGGCATAACCATAAGTAATATTGGAGAACATGTTTATAATACCACATGCGACGATACCGGAAGTGATGTAACTGGGAGCGCTGTTACCGGAAGTTATGGTAACGAAAGTGATGTTACCGTAAGAGATGACGCTAAAAATTATGGCAGTGCTTCTGGTATCAGCCAAACATCGCGTTCCACCATCAGCGAAACGAATGACAGATTGTACCACTAGGAAAGTGATATATTAGCAAGGAATATGAGAAATTAGCTACCTAGATATATCATAAAGTAAATAATCTTTTCAAATACATGGGATTCAAACTATAATCGTGTTTTAACTTTTTTGACAACTCAACTAACTGTTATAACACTGGTTTATCCACTTTTCTTACCGGAAATCTTGACAGATTAAGCGATCATGAATATATAAAAATTCGAGAATTTCAGCTTATCACCATCACAGTTCTGACTAATGCATTACATAATAACAAAGCAACTTGAACTCTCTTCTGAAAAGATGAAAAAAATAAAAGATAAACATTAGGCCACATAAAAAAATTACTTGTTTAGCGTCCCCGCCCGACCTGATAAAAATCTCCGACCGTCAATTTTTTAATTTTTTTTTTTAAATCCGTCCGAGTTTAGTGCAAGAACTCTCTATAAAAAAGACTGTTTTACTCGAAAAAATGGTGAATTTTATTCTTCTCGGAGCTATGTATAATACGTTTACACAAAGTATTTCCTTCCTCGCAGCTAAAGTGTTCGCGCGTGACCGCCAAACAGTAATCATTTCTGTTTTATTAAAAACATGAACGGTATTAAAAAAACATGAACGGATTTTGAGTTTTGATTATGGTAATATACTGGATTTTCTGCATTTAGCAGAATTTTGTGTTGCATATATATATATATATATATATATATATATATATATATATATATATATATATATATATATATATATATATATATATATATATATATATATATGAAGGTTCCTTGTGGATCGATGGAATTTCAACAGACATAAAATGTTGTTATATTTAATATCTAAACGTTTCGCCGATCAAGGCTTCTTCAGTGGATAAAAACTTTACGGTAATATTACACACCCTACTTTTATACTGTACATCACTAATTAAAAATTCCTAGTATATATATATATAGAGAGAGAATAATACATGGGTGCGCGGAAATACCAGATTTATTTTGAGTGTTGAACATGATATCTCACGAGTGAGCGCAGCGAACGAGTGAGATATCATTTTCAACACGAGAAATTAATCTGGTATTTCCAAGCACCCATGTATTTTTCTGTTTATTATATAAAGGACAGTCTTTGAAAAGCGATAATTTTTACAGAAAAGCGATAATTGAAAGCGATAATTTTCACATGTGAGATTATCATGAATAATCTCACATGTGAGATTATCACTTTTGTCAGTGGTCGAAATCTCTATAAAGCACTATGAAACTTTATATAACAAGACGCTCGAAAGAGCGTTGACTCGCTGGGGCTAATGGGTAGACTTGGTTCAAGTCCGTCTCTCAGCGCAAGCGGTCAAAAGCTAATGGGCTGCCTATAGTGACACACTTGTCAGATCACAGTGATGGTACATTGGTACTACAATCATATGGCCAATTGAAGAGTTAATTGTGATCTGTCCCCTGTTGCAAAATTGCGGTGTCCCACCGATGTGTCAAGTTTGGCACCGCTACCTGACAGCAGACGGTTTGGGGGGAGGAGTTTGTTCCGAAACAAATGCTTCCACTGCCTATCTGAAAATTCCTTGCCCGTCTAAATCGCTGACTGAGACCGACTATCTCTGGTTTAAATGCATCCAAGTGACCCAAGGAAAAAAATACCATCGTTCGAATCAGCGTACGAAATTGTAATTACGGATACCAAATTCATTACTGAACAGCAGTATTCTGGCGATATATGACCTTTGAAAGTCAAGCGAAATTGTATTGTTGACAAATGTCACAAATCGCTCTCAAAATTTATATTATTCAGCTATTTAAAAATGCAGTACGTTTGCTCCTTGATAACTTTCGTATCGTTGGTTTTCTCCTTTTCGGCCATGTACGAATGGATTCGTCTCACTATTATCTTCATTTTGATAGTATTTTGATCCGACAATTGTTTATTTTGAAGGTTTTAACAGGGCTCCAAATGGCATTTCTCTCGTGCCTGGGGTTAGCCTAATATTTGTTTTGTTGCCTAATTTTAAAATTTTTTTATTGCGCAATAAAGCAATTTTGCATCAATTGCATGTACCGGCCCTTTTTCGTGAACCGCTTATTTTTTATTAATTTAAATAACTGTACATTTTAATTTAAAACAAAAAGTCTCTTGCGGCTCTGCGAGTGTATACCAAACTTGAGAAGTTCAAACCACTTGACACTGTCTGCAGTTGCAGGGTTTGCGCAATAAATTAATGTTGAATCATTAAACTATTATACTTATCACTACAGTGACAATGCTGTTCCTCTATAGAACTTTACAATAAGTAATAACAATTAAGATCAAACAATACTTATTTTAGACACAAGACAAAAAGTGTTGTGCATATATTCTATTAATGAGTCAATCTATACCTTAAATCTTTGAACGCAAATTATTATAATGCCAAATAGCTAGGTATGTTAGGCATGCAGATGTTTACTTTACCGAGGAGGTTGACTGCTTGAGAAGATTGAGAACAACCTAGTTTTTAGTGCGCAAGGGCCTAGAAACAACCTAGTTTTTAGTGCGCAGGGCCTAGAAACAACCTAGTTTTTAGTGCGCAAGAGCCTGAGAACAACCTAGACTCATTAAAACTAGGTTGTTTCCAGTTTTCTCGCATAACAAAATAGGCAATGACGTCTTGTCACGGTTGGAAGCCAATGCGTTGACAATCGTAATAAGATCACAATGAAACATGATCTGACTATCTTGAGCCTTTTAGATCAGCCGATAAATATAAGACATATATGCGGTTGTAAAAGCAATGCGTAAGCTACTTCTAAATTATTTAAAAATTCTAAAATATATCAATTATTATGATAGATTTCAATGCATATTTAACAGTTTACTGCAACCTTTCACTGCCATGTTTCAAAGCCTAGTTTGTGCTTTACTTCCTGCCTAATTTTGGAAAGTTTACAAATTAATTGCCTAAATTGGAAACTTTCTGAAAGTGGGGTTTCCAGGCTTAAAGGGCCGCATTTGGAACTCTGGTTTTAAAGCGAAGTTTTAACCATGCGCGTGGAATAACTGTCCGCCGACAGGAAGAATGTAGCGTATACGATAGATTAGAACCTTTACATGTAGCACAGCTTGTAGGCGGAATCGCATGAAAGTTTTATTTGTAAAGCACCGCATTTAGTTAGTACTGTGTCTGGTCTACTCTGTTCTTACAAAAGCATAGTACTTAATTAGCAGTCTTATATCGAGTTTATATTTCATATAATTGTTCCTGTGCATCGCCATCGGCGATCGCTGTCTCTTACTTTGTATTTCTATTTTTGTCGGGATATAAGATGTCATTTTGACCGCTTAACAGGATTTATTTGGCATTAACACATCTCCAAATTCATTGTTCTTGTCGTTGAATCCTCAGTGCAGTAAAATGTCAGTTTTAAAAGAATGTAAACATGTTCATACTGGTTAAAATAAACAGCAGCTTTGGCTTTTTTAGTAATATTCTTGAATTTTTCTCAATACTTAGGGTTATTTATGGATAATTTGGGTAAATATTGGCAGGAGCCAAATGGATAATTTGGGTAAAAGTAGGTAGCTCGTTAGTATTCTATTTTGTGGCTATCAATCGGAGAAAAATCAGAGCCGAAACCTATACTCGCCAGGGCACAGATGCCCCAGCGAGTAATAAATATATATATTTTAATATATATGAATGGTGTTTTAAAAAAATAAAACAAGAACTTCCTCAGGCATAAAAAGGTATAATGACTATGACCGGGTCCCAGACGTTTCGCCGGTTAAGGCTTCACCCATATATATATATATATAAAAGAGTTGAATATTTGTAATCCAGGCATTTTATTATTTGAATAAAAATCATAATTATTAATTTATTAAGTATTGTTTAATAATCGAGCAGGAGTGTTTTATTAGGTTCAAAGACACGAGCGCGCAGCGCGAGTGGCTTTAGACCTAATAAAACACGACCTGCGAGTTTATTAAACGGCTTCAAACACGACTACAAATTCAATAGATATACTGCCTTATTAGTATTCTTTATATAAAAAATACTAATGAGGACACGACTACAATAGATACTGCCTTATTATAGTATTCTTTATATAAAGAATACTATAATTAGGAGTGTTTTATCAGGTTTAAAGCCACTGCACGTGACACATTATGGTTGACATGATTTGTCAATAAGCTTATGAATTATTAATGAGTGTTTGAAGTACTATTTAAAAAACGAGCAGGAGTGTTTTATTAGGTTTAAAGCCACGAGCGCGCAGCGCGAGTGGCTTTAGACCTAATAAAACACGACCCGCGAGTTTTTTAAATGACTTCAAAAACGTATGCATAATAAGTAAATCTTTATATAAAAATCTTTATATAAAAATCTTTATATAAAAAATCTTTATATAGTTTGCATAACAATGGTCTTTTGTTAAAGTGTTCTTTAGCTGGTATAAAGACGTATGCACGTGACTAATTTCTTACTCAAGATTGGATAATTGCTTCATGAATTGTTAATGAGTTTTTGAATTATTAATTAATAAATTTATTAATTGAATTTAAATTATAATCCAGAGAACAAAATAATTTGTAGAATTATTCAATTAATATATATATATATATATATATATATATATATATATATATATATATATATATATATATATATATAT